ATATATATATATATATATGTTTTTTTTCTGTTCGAGCGCCCTAGTTGTTGGTTTTCGTCATGGCGGCCATTAAACAAGAGATTCTACCATCTGCGGTGTGATTATTGAGTTAACATCTCCCACCTGACGTGACTGAGGATATCCTCACAGTGGTTGTGGTACTGACTGAGCCACGTCATGATCTGATGCGGAGCCAGCAGGAACACGGGGCTGAAAGGCTTTCCTAAACTGCTCTGCAGGCAGAACAGAACAGATTTTAGAGTTATTTACTTTAAAACAACATTTCTGCACAGAATCGATGGCTTTGTTTCTGACGTACCAGAGCTCGTTGCCTTTGGTACAGCAGCCTTAGCATCCCCTAAAACAAACAGTAAATGAGACCAATCATGTCTGAAATGAGGATAAGGTCACATTTTCAGATTCCTGGTTTTAAAAGCTACATCTTGATACCTTCACATATCATACATGGATCCATAGATATGACTTCATTTGTCTTGTTAATCACAATAAAACATTAATGTTTGGTCTGAATCCTAATTTTATGTAATTTTAATGAAAGATTTTTGATGCCATTATAAAGAAGAAAACTCAGAGTATTTGAATATTGAGATTTCCACACTAGAAAAAACAAACTTTTTTAGCTCGCTGGAAAAATCTCAAAATTTTAAGGTGTTTTTCCTCAAAATCATTTTTTTGGTTGTTGTTACTGCTCAAAAAAGTGTTTCAGAAATTTATTTTAGGATCATATTTCAGACAGTTCATTCAAATGATACACTGATAAGGCAAATTCAAAGGCTGACTGTAACATTTTGACAAAATGCAATTTTTGCAAACATTTTAATCAAAACACTATATCTGCCTTTTTCTCCACATCCCACTTAATCTGATCACAAATGTTAGAAAAACAAACATTTTCAGCTGAAATCAGAAGAAACTAAAAGCAACCTGTCAAAGAAAAGAAGAAAAGGTCCAGATAAAAGCAGGAAGAGGCCATCTACAGGCTGCTGAGAGGCTAAAAAAGGCAAAAATCCAGAAAAACAATAATGCTGAGTCATCGTTATCGGCTGGGTTCGGCTGCTTACCATGTGGTGGTCTGTGTGCATGTGGGAGATGAAGATGGTTGAGATCTTGGACAGGACCTGGTCCACATCGTCTCCGTACTGCCTGCAGAGCTGCCCGAAGGTTCCCTCCCCGCAGTCCAACAGAAGTGACTGAGTGGAACTTCAGGAAGAGCCGGAAACACACGAGTCACTAAAACACAGCAGACAGAGGCCGATTCATTTTAAACCCTAACCACCTGCTGTACCTGATGT